GGGTGGCATTGGGTTCAGGGTTTAGGGTTTAGGAATGTAGTTGTAGCATATTCGGACCCATATTATGAGACTTTTAACCCCACTTATAACTATACAAGCTTTCAACAGCCAGTTATCTCACACGAAAACGGCTTTCACACCCTAACCCTTAGCCCTAATTTGTATTCCCCACGATTGCATGCTTAAGCAAGCCATGCAGCTAGAGGAAACCAAGAGGAGAGCACAGAGAGCCAGGCATCAAAGATCTAGAGCGGTGTTCCTGCGGTGCCGCCGACAAGCTGATCTGCGTATCTGGGGTCCTCAAGGATGAGGCAGCTTGACTAGGACCTGGAGTAGGCCCTTATTCCCTTTTTTGTGGGGTTCAGGTTCCCTCAAAAGCCCCTTTAAACCAAAAAGGGCACCCTTTTTCTTCCTAGGTTACTCTTGGGTCTAGTTGAAATTTGCTGTTTATCGGTGCTGTTATTCGTAGTCCCATCAACACTAGCAGTGTTTTAAGCAGTTGAGACTGTTAACTGTTAGTGTTATTGTTATTGCTTTCTAACATCACCAGTACTATTACTACTACTACTACTACTACTACTACTACTACTACTACTACTACTACTACTACTACTACTACTACTACTACTACTACTACTACTACCACAGCCACTACTACTACTACTACTACTACTACTACTACTACTACTACTACTACTACTACTACTACTACTACTACTACTACTACTACTGCTACTGCTCTGCTCTCTACTGGGTTCAGGACTTCAAGTCTTTCGCATTTGTCGGGCTTTCGGTCTCAGTTGTTTAGGGCTCAGAGCTTGGGGTCGAGGATCGTTTTCTGCGGGTAGTACTTGGAGGTCGATGGGTACCCTAAGGCTCCATAGTGGTTCCTTTTTGGGGTTCATATATAGAATCCTATAAGGTAATCCCAAAAAGGAACTACTATGGAGCCTCTGGGTAGTTATAAGTGGGGTTATAAGTAGGGCAACTATACCTATAACTAGCCATGAACCTCCAGTTTTGGCTTTAGTGTGGGTGCCCAGCCCAAGCCGATTCCTCCTGCCATGGCGGCTCCATTTTAGGATCTAGGGGTGACAGGGGTTTAGAGTTACGAGTTTAGGGGCTTGAATAGGCTTGAGCAGTTTCAACAGGCTTGTGGAGTATGCTAATGTATAGTTAGTTTCTGATGAGTCCTACCGCTCCATCAGTCCAGGACTCTTGTACGTGAGTCTTAAACCCTAAGCCCAAACCCTCAAACCTTGAACCCTAAACTCTAAGCTGGTGAGCCCCTCAAAAGTGAAGATCTGGACCCCTGAATGATACAGAGGTTTGAAAGGGCCTGAATAGGCGTCTACTAGCTACAGATGTTGTAGAAACCTGATGAAAGTCCGCTTGGGCTCGAACTTAAATCCTCACCTGGCGTTTCTCACGAACTCGGCAAGTGCTAGGATCCCAAACTGGAAGCTACAAAGTTTTCAGTGTTTTAGAACTTGTATAGCTTAGGATGAACCCGCCACAGTGCAGGTGTGTGGCGTGTGTGGTGCTGACGGGCCTGGGCCTAAGTTGGAAGAAAAATCATTCGGAGGTTCATGGCAATTGGTAGTTACAACTGATATATCCCATATCAAGGAACTTGCAACAAGCCCATGAACCTCCAAGCATGGCAATCGTTCTACTAACCCTTGAACCCACCATTGGTCTACAGCGCTTGAGGACTCGGGAACGTGGTTTGCTGTATTCTCCACAGGATGGTGAGGACACTACAAATATAGAGAAACAGCGGCAACCCAATCGTTGCATTACAATGAGGAGTATGTAGCCTTTGAGTGACCCCCGAACAGCAGTTCCGGAACCTGATGTGTTTCTGTTTTGCAGATAGGAGTTGGGTATAGGAGAACATCTGCAGCCTGGGGCAGTACAAGTACTGCAGGATTTGATTCAGTGGTTCCGTGACTTGCTGTCCCAGACGGTTCGTGGTTAAGAGCCCCATATCGAGCCTGTCAGTATTGCCACAGTTTAGGATTTATCAAAGGGCCCTTAATGCTGACCCCTACCCTATAATGGGGCTAGATAATGGGTATATAATAGCTATATTAAGGGTATATACCTAGGGGTCCTTATTAAGGGTCCCTCCTTTTTCCCTTAAAGTCGAGGGTTGAGGGATTCAACCCCGGAGCCCTAAACCGTGAAGCACCCTCGACCCCCAATCGCAAACCCTGGGCCCAGAAATCGCATGTCTGTGATCTACAACGGCATTCACGCTGCGCCCATCGCCAACATGGAGTGGGAGGCCCTTCAAAACAGATTCCATAGACGTAGCATTGACTCTGTTTTCGGGTTCAGTTCCTAGGATGCCCAGTAGTACCCTTATTCCCTTTTTGTAGTCCTAGGTTCCTTATAAAGTTACCCAATACCAAAAAGAGAGGCCTTTTTATTCTTAGGTTACTGGGTATCCTAGACTCTGTTTTCGGGGTTCAGTTTCATGGCTTCTGCTCGAGGATGTCCAATCTTTGGAGGACTTGACAAGCTACTCCAGGAATGGTGATCAACATGCCTTTGTCACTGTTGGGTAACATTTTACATTTTTATGGGTACTTAACCCAATAAGGAATAAAAATGTACATTTTTAATCCTATCCCAACAATGAACTAGATGCATTGTCAGGGCCACCCGCTGAACTGCAGTCCCTAAAGCCCTATAAACCCCAAAACCCGAAGCTCTACACCGATAACCCCGTAATCTCGGTGCCCTAGTCGCACGCGTTTGCCTTTTTGCTTCGCGGGATGACTCTCTCACTTAAGTTGACTAGTTGGACAGAATTGACAGGTACCTTGATCTGATTTCTTGGGATACCGGCAACCTGTTAGCCCTCTACGAGACCTTCGCTAGGGGTCCTATATGACATAAACCCCACAGACCCCCTGCCATAGAACCTTCACTGCAAGAGAGGACGAGTGGATCGGGAACACAAAAGCCGACAAAGGGTTCGGCCGCATGGATCCCATGCTCCCCGACTGGCTTAAACAGTGGCATTAGTGCTTTGGGTGCTTGGGTTTAGGAATTTGGCGGTCCTGCAAAGGGTTCCTTTCCAGGTTCTACTTTTAGGGTCAAGGATATGGGCCCAGGGTTTCAGGGGTTCAAGGATTCGGGCTGCAGGGTTCGGGGGGGGGGGGGTTGAAATTTTGGATGGAGAAGGGCGCCGGGGGTATTCATACACATTTTTGGGTGCAGCATTGCACTTTTAAGCTTTTGTTTCTGTCTTTTCAACCTAAGCCCTAAACCGGCTCTGTTTGGTTGTCATTATGGATTAAGGACCTTCGGAGATTAGGGTGGATTGGCTGGTGGGTCCGATAAAGAGCTTCGAGTTTGATGTGTAAGATTAAATGTATATAGATGCTGCAAGTGGGTAGCTGTGTTCCCTCAAATCAAGATGTGAGACTGCTGTATACAGATCGATCTTGCAAACCGTCAAGTTTCAGCACTGTCAGTTTCACTGGTAACAACTAGCAAACCCCGTTCCATCGGTCCCGGTGGCGCACTCAACCTTGAAAAAATTAAATCACGAATTCGACACGACCTCATAAGTACTCTTTCAGCCTTTTGCTGTGATGCCCTCCAAGCTACAGTGACCAAGCTTCGATCAAGAACTGTTCTGAACTCAAGCACAGACCGTAAGAAGGGTTTAGACTTCGGGTTTGGGGCCATAATTAGGTAAGCGAGCCTGTCTGTCCGGAATAGAACCAGAACCTTACAAGCTAAAGCCCACACCATGTTGTAGATACATCCGGGACCCCAGCAAGCAACACTACTTCAGATAAGTCCTGCTGAAATCCATTATCAAAAACGTACGCAACACTATGAAGCCCTTGCTAGAACAACGCACCAACTTGAAAGCCCGTACGAAATCCCAATACTTCCACTTTGGGAAGGAATCCTGTGCATTGTCACAATGTTGAAGTCTGTATCGACAACTCTGTAAGTCCTGTGAGAAAGCTTCTGCACCCTTGCAAAACAACCTAAACAAATCCCGCCCTCATTCCTAAATCCCCAAACCCTAAACCCTGAAATCCAAAACCCCGACCCTCTTTAGACGCTTGCTTCGAGGTTCCTCTTCGTGGGTCGGCACACGGCGCAGAAGGGCTGCGATCTGCTCATTGAGGCGATTCCCCACATCCTCGGTTGCCGAGGCCAAAACGGAGGGGGTGTTGGGGGCGGTTCAGGGCTTAGGGTGGTGTAGGGATTAAGAGGTTTGGGAGGTTCTGTGCCATGGTTGGGTATCATTTTTCGTTTTAATGGGCACTTAAACCCAATAAGGAATACAAACTTAAACTTAAATTTTGAATACTATCCCAACCATGAACTAGGGTTAGGGATTTGAGGGTTTAGGGTTGAGGCGTGCAGCCCAGGGTTCCTTTGTCAATGGCTACTCTTCAAGGACGTTGTTTTTTCTGTTTTACAGTAAACCCCATAAAGTTGGAGATCGGATTAAGGCCAAATAGTGCTGGGATTCCCTTTACATTCCTCTTAAGGATGGAGGCTCTGGGGTTTCCAACTTTTGGGCTTCTACTGTAACCCTACCCTAAACCCTAAACCCTTATGGTACCTTATACCTTAAAGGAGCCATTCTAGATCCCTTAAAGGAGTCCTTATGTGTAGGTTTAGGGTAAGTGGGTGGGGGCCTTACATAGTTGTACAAGGCTTGTCATAGGGCGCATATGAAGGGGCCCCCACCCTGTAACAGTGGTATAATGGGAATAAAATAGGGCTCTAAAATAGTCCTTATAGTCACTATTACCGGATGAAGGCCCTTCTAACGCATATGTGCCTATGGGGATTTCTGGCCCAGGGTTACGGGCGTTTGGGCTTGAGGTTTCAGGGACATGTTCTTGCAGAGCCATGGAGCGTATGTGTGGTGTGTTTCATGTTAAAGGCTCAACCCTGCGATCAACGTGGTCTGAGTACTATCACAATTTTCGTTTTCGTTTCTTGCGAAACTCACGATGCCGCGCGTCTTGTACAAGGACTTGATGGCCCAGGCTTCCTCATCACTCGGACAGGCCTTCAGCCACGTGGATTTGGATGCCGCCTTCGGAGCGGGTACTCAAGATCTTGTGGATGCCACCTTCGAGGAGTTTGGTGGGAGCAAAGTCAAGGATGAATGTGATGCGCTATGCCATTGTTTGTGCTGTCTTTGCCTTTTGTGCTCTCAGATGGATTCCAGGCTGTTCAGTGGTACACGTTTTTACTTTCAGGTTTCTGGGTTCCTTTTTATAAAATAAGAAGCTTAAAAAGTATATGCTTGTTTTCAGTGGGTTACTGAGCAGCCAAGGATTGCCGGGGCTGCGATGATTGCTTCCGCCGTCGACGGAGATATTCCTCCTGGGTGGAAATGCCTCAGCAGCACCTAGACCCGAGCAGAACACGTGTTTGGTTGGCTTTGTTTCTTACGACCGGATCTGAACAACAACCAGTAGTAGTAACAAGACACTAACTACAATTTATACTACTATACTACTCTACTCTACTGTATACGACTGTACTACTGTACTACTATACTACAAAACTACTATACTACCGTACTACTATACTTCATACTACTATACTACTACTGCTACTGCTACTGCTACTGCTACTGCTACTGCTACTGCTACTGCTACTGCTACTGCTACTGCTACTGCTACTGCTACTGCTACTACTGCTGCTGCTGCTGCTACTGCTGCTGCTGCTACTACTGCTGCTTCTGTGCAGCTGCCAGGACTACGAGTACGAATCCTACTAAGAATCAACAGGAGAGGAAGAAGAACACTAATGACGTTGATATTCACTGTATAAGTAACAGTAGTAGTGTTATCCCAAGTACTAATATGAGTAGTAATGGTTTCAAATAATGAGAACAGTAATGATAATAAGGACTTTTAACATCGTAGTAATAACAATAATAATATAAGAAGAAAAGTGCACATAGAAGTACATCATCGGTCCAAGGCAAGTCATGGAGTCCATGGAGAAGCCGGAGACCTGGGTTTGGAGTACCATATTTGAATACTTTTTTTGGTGCCTGTTCCTTAAAGGGACCACTATGAAAACTATATTAGTCTATACTTGAGGGTGTAGGGGCTTAGGGGTTTAGGGTTTAGGGGTTCAGGGTTTAGGATTTAGGGTTTAGGATTTAGGGCTTAAGTGTTTAGGGTTTAGGGCTTTTTTCTCCCTTCAAACTCCAGGACAAGCCCAGTCTTCTCGAGCGCATCGCCAGCCTCACCTCGGAGGATCTTCCGTTCTGGAGTTTTTCAAAGGGGAAAAGGAGGGACCCTTAGGCTCTTAGGGTTCCTTTAAAGGGATCTATACGGGTCCCTTTAAAGGGATCTATGGGGTTTAGGGTTTAGGGTTCGAGGAGTTGTTCAAAGGGGAACAGGAGGGACAATTTTTGGTTATTATAAGCCCTAAGAAGCAGCTAAAATTCTAGTGTGTGCTGTTGTTGGGGTTCAATCAAAGGGGAAAAGGAGGGACCCTTAAGGGGGACTCCTAGCCTATAATGTGCTATATAATGGGTATATAATAGCTATTAAGGGTATATTACCTAGGGGTCCTTCTTAAGGGTTCCTCCTTTTCCCCTTTGAGTTTTGGGTCTTGGGTTCAAGGTGTAGGAATCCTGGGTTCGCAACTTTTGGGTGGGTCGGTTCAGGGATCAAGCTTTAGGGCTTAAAGGGAACTCCAGAAAGTTGGAATATGGATTAATGGTAGGATCAACTATAATTTACCTTAAAGGGGTTACGATAATGATATTCCAACTTTCTGGCTTCTACTGTAGGGTTTTGGGATTTGGGATCCGGGTTTGGGGTTTCCAGCCTGACTTCGCAGGATCTCGGTGCCGTGGTGCGTGGAGCATCAGGCGAGGCCTTGGTTTTGTAGTCGGTTGCGGCGGTTTAGGGGTTTAGGGTTTCAGGGTTTAGGGCTTAGAGTATAGAGTTTGTGGCTTGCGGGTTGAGGGGGCGTTTAGGCCTTATATTATAGGAGGATTATTCTTTTAGTCCCTTTTGCCACGACTCCAGGCAGCCGCGACTGGACTTTGCAGGACTGGCAACGTCTAAAGTGTATAAGTGTCTTAGGGTTCAGGGTTTACGGTGTTTCCGGGCTTCCAGCAAGCTTCAGGCAGGGTGTTTGATGGGTGTTTTAGTCAGGGACCCCTTCGCCCCTTTTGGGTAATAATGCCACCGCTAACCCATTAGATGATCATTCCTAGGGTCCCCCCTACATTTCACCGATAAATCACTACTACTACCCCCATTAGATGATCATTCCTACACTCCCCCCTACATTTCACCGATATATCACTACTACTTCCCCATTATCAATACAATTATAGGAATAACCATAACCCCATCTATTATTTCTAAGGTGGCATTATTACTCAAAAAGGGCAAGGGGTTTCTTGTAGAATTTGTTTCAGCGTTTTCGGTTAAGCAAGGTGGCTATCTTCCAGTCAGCAATGCTACCCCCCCACCCCCCACCGTAGGTATCTCAACCCCAACATTCCAAACCCAATAGGTCAGGATTCGTGGAGTTACGTCCTCCACAACATGTACAACCAAGATCCGGCGGTGACGAGGACTCATGTTTGGAGTTAGTTGTCCACTGGTAGGCCTGCGCTGAGAACCACCTAGAGCTTCTACAACACCGGGACCTCTCGGCGAAAACTGAAGTTGGGTTCGTGGCACACACCTGCATCTGACTCAAGCTGTTTTCCCGCCCAAGTCTCGTGAGGCTTCCCAAGTGCCCCTCTGCCTTGGAGCAATGGGGTCTGGCAAGTGGCTTTGTGTCGCGTTTGGGTTGGCATTCGCTATCCCAGGCTTTGTGTTCAGCTCCACCGGAAGCGCCGAGCCAGAGCAGACTTCGGCGACGGCACGCCCGTTTGTTGCAGATCGTTACGTGGGCAAAAAAGCAAAGCAGCAATTGGAGAAGGACTACAAACAAGCGTGCCGCAAAGTTTTGGCCAAAGCCTTCAACCTCCAACAAATCTGCGGTTTCGAGTTTGAGGCTCCCAACACCTTCTTGGAAGCATTCGGGGTGATCCCATCCCGTTTTGGGGATTCGAACACGGAATTGGATGCAGTCTTTGTTGTACCTGCAACAGAGGCATCTGCCGCGCCTGTCGAGCCGTATCCAAGCGCAGATGATTGGGAAGTCTTCATGCTTGGACCAGGAGGCTGGACTGATGCTCACACACAGGTGTGGGGGTCTCATACCGAGCCCCGCTTGATCGTGGCCGAAGTGTCCCGACCTGCTGGACAACTCAAGGCTAAGCTTAAGCAGCTCAAAGCAAGATTGGCCCTGTTCGACCACTGGAGGACACGATTTCAAGTCGTGCTTGTGATCGTTTTGAATGGCCCCGACCAGGCCTTCCGCAAGGCTCAGCAGGATGTCCAAACTTCTTCCTTCAATGTGACCATCGTACACTGGAAAGACCAGGTGGTTCAATCTTGGAAGGCGGAGGGCATTGCGGAGGGCAAGGCGCAGGAGCGGGATCGTTTGACTAGAAAGGCAGCAAAGATGGGGCTGCAACCGGAGCAGCTCAGGCAGCTCTTCGATGAACAAGGCGACGAACAATCAGATTGAGGTAGACACAAGCTCTATCCAAGCACATGTACCGGATCCAGAAGTGTCACGTGTGCGATGTGCGTTCAACAACCGAGCCGTGCAATGCAAAGCCTTTATTGTGCTAGCGCACAGCCGTCGGCAGACAGGCCAACGCAGCTTTTGTGTTCTCGGTTGATGATCGCATGTGTAGTTTACAGGAATCTCTACCAGCCGCCAGAGACCCAACAGACAATGAGAGATATGCCAAAGTCCCATGCGCGAGTGCTTGCGAAGTGAGACCCGAAGCCGTTCTTTACACATTTGCTCCCATGCCTGCTGTGAGGATTCCGCCGCCGCTGCATCGAGCCTCTACCACTACCAGCCTCTTAGGCAGTTCGTGTATGTATACATATGAAGGCTTCTCGTTTAGACGAGTTTAAGTCGAAATACTGCAAGTCAAGCTACTGCAAAATAGCTTCACACAAGTAGTTAACAGCAAGAGACACACCACAACGCAACAAACAACTTCGGAACAAAAACCATACACAAACAAGCGGAACACACAACAACACACCAATTAAGTTTGACAACTCGGGTGTGGTGAACTTTTTGGGTTTAGGATGGTATAAACCATAACATTATAATACTAATAATGTTATGCTTGTTCAATCCATTAAGTCAAACTCAGGATTATTCAATAGCGTTCTAACGGTTTTGTTGAAATCATATGTTGTAGCATTAACATTGTATTTCATTTTGTATTGTATCCACGTTTTTATTTCTTCTTTGTCTCTACAATACATCATTTCATTAAACAATTTCTTAAACATGTTGTATCTCTTCATAGTTATGTTTGTAATCACATGTTTAACTGAATCATACATCGGAAACAAACGATCCAAGCTGAAAATAAGCTTATCAACATCTCATAAACATAAATCATTGGTTTCAAGACGTTCTTCTAATGCTTCCTTTTTTTCTATGGTCTTTTCGCATGTCCAACATCGATACGCAAAGCCATAGATATTATTAATAATATTTTCTGGCAGTGGTAATTCGTATAACGTGCAATAATGCTGATGTTTCTTACAATCCTGGCATTTACATTTAGTCCGCTTTTCCCTACTTTCCCTGATGTAATCGCGAACCTTGATAACGTCCAAAAAATCATTTATGATTTCATCCTGTTCTTTCCGATTGAACATGTCCCTGTTAATCTATATAGGTGTTATTTCTTTAAGTGTTTTCTTAAGAAAATTTTTATCAAAAGAAAAACTAAACTTTTAACAACTCAAAGCGTAAATAAGCCCTATCATTCCCTGATACATAATAATATTTTTGGCCCAATTTTTCGTCAATTCTTTCTATGGTATAAACATTTTGCGACCAATTTGATACACGTTCTTTTTCATTGGGTTTCCTCTTCCTGAATATTTTAACTTCATCACCAACACTTAATTCAGGATATACCCGATTTCGTTTAGCATTCATATTTAAATGCAGTTTAACTTTTAATTCGTTGCTCGGTTTTCTGGCATCCTTTGGGGTGAAACCAGTAGCGGAATGTTTCATTTTATTGTTATATGTTAATAATATTTCAAAAATATAATCCGGCCACTGAATATTGTTTTTACCGTTTTTCTGATCGGCTTCAACACGACGATATAATAAATCTTTGAACGTCCTAATGGCCCTCTCGCTAAAATTTGGATGCGCCCTAGTCCTGTGATGTTCTATGTTCTGTTCCTGTAAATACTTTTGTATTGCCTCCTTGTTCATTGCTCCCTCGTCGTCTGTGTAAATTATTTTTGGTTTCTTTCCCATCTTATTTAAGCACTCAATCATCCCACTGGCTAAATCTTCTTCTTTCTTACCTTTAATTGCCACGACGTGCATAAACTTATCAAAAATATCAATCATTAACATCCCTACTCTAAACTTTTGATCTTTCAAGTCGTTGATAAAAAATAAGTCCATCTGATACTCATATGCTGAATGCGGGGCGACAAAGCTGTTTGAACCGACGGGCTTTCTTTTTTTTAATCAACATTCTTCCTAAAAAACTCGTTAATATCAGACATTGTGATGGTTTTATCTTTCTCCCGTGCTTCTTCTAAAGTCCGGCTTTTTGAGCCAAATCCCGCGCGATCAAAATACACATCATTAATAATTTTTTGTTTCTCACTCATATAAAAAGCAAAAGAAAATAATGATTCAATAATTAAGTCATCATTCGTCATCCATCGGCTTTATGATCTTGAACTTGCTCATATCATATTTGGGTGTGCCGCGCTTTGCTTTAAAAGGCTTTTTTGCATTCATTATTTCAGACAGCAATTCTTCTGTCAACTCATCGGGGTTCAGTTTGATATTGTTGGCTTCTTCATACTCCTTGATCTTCTTTCTCTGATTGTGTCGTAGTGCAGATTCTCGTTTCTTTTGCATATATTTTTCATCATTTCTGCGCTTGTTGTAATACAATCTGCTGTATATGGCGAGTTGCTCTTTGATTTCATCCATTGTCATATCCTCGGGGTTTTTACTCATATTATACTATACTATATATTATTTTTTATCTTTAGACATATTTCTATATATTAAAAAATATTTAATATTTTAAAAAACATCTTTGGGAAATTTCACTTAAAGATTTAATAATATATAGTTTAATTATATTAGTATATGTCCAAAGCCATTAAGCGTAATACGGAAGCACTACAAACATTTTATAACAACAGAAGAAACCGCATCAACCAAGCCACCAGAACAAAGGTTCAAAACATAATTAACTTATATTCAGATCGTAAGATCGCCCAATTCACCACAGCAGACAATTTAATTAGGAAACTCACCACCGCAAAAACAGACAAAGAAAAAACTAAAGCGGAAAAAGAATATGATAAAATATACGACAAGCACAAGGATAAAGAACAACTAGGTCAGAGAATGGCGCAAGCACAAGAAGACAACAAACGAACGGGAAGAACCAACCCGAGGAAACCAAAAAAATATTCAATCAATGTTCATTTATATAGGCTTAAGACAGAAGCAGACAAAGGTGTATTAAAAACGTCTTTTAGAGACAGTAGGGGTAGGGAATATGTCCCAGTATACATGAACCCTTTAACTGCTAATGTGCATACAACACAGTGGGTAGAAAAATTAGCGGGGAGACGCATATTCAAATATGAGAAAGCCGATTCTAAGACGTTCTATAGGCTCAAGTTGTTATTAGTGACAGATGACAGTTTTAAAGCCGAAGTTGGTTACGCAGAAGGTTACATTGACTGTATTAAAGTCAATTATGCCGAAAGGGTAGATAACGCCGATGCTTTCAAGCCACAAGACGAAGATCTAACAAACACAGTGAATGTCAGTATGTATCACAGATATATTCAGACACCACTAGATCCACAGTATGAGACCTTTAAGGAAGCCATTAAAGTAGATCATCATGTTAAGAACGAGTGTTGGTTTAACACCTTGACGGATTATTATAAGGATACACTTATGGGAGATCACAAGAGAGAGAAGAACAAACACACAAAAGAAGCCATCCTAAAAATCATGAATAAGACAGAACAAGATTTTAAAACAAAAGGGGCATCCATAACAGATATGGCCAAGGTGTTTGAACACTTTAACTTGCAAGTGAGAATTTATGATGCCTTTAATACTCTAATTTATAAACGCGACCCAATAAAGAGAAATCATCACATCCCAGCCTTATACGCTATAGTGAAGAACAATCACATCTACACGGCAAGTGATAATGTGAATATGTTGAAGCAGATGATACCAAAAAGCAGTAATTATAATATATCTGTTAAGGCATCTTCAGATTATCACATTAACGAGAAGGAAGAGCCGGTGGAATGTAAAATGATCACATCCCTAGACGACATCCGGAAATACACAGAGCATAGCGAATACACATTGGTGTATAATGGCTACGATCTGTCTCGTCTCTTTTATCTTAGCAAACAGGCAGGGTATGAGCCACAGGTTAGATTTAGTGCAGGGTTCGTATCTGAACTTAACTTCAAGTTTAAGATCAAGATAAACAGCAAGACCCACAAAGAGATTAAATACAAGGTTAAGACCCAGAACTTAGTGAATAGTTCTATAGATGGCTCCATCTGTGTGAGAACGGAGCAGATCTACAATAAGATGTCTAAAGCTATGTTTAATTTTAACACCGCCCTCTTCAAGCCCACTCATAAGTCATATTACAACGAAGTGGATGTAGAGATTTTTAAGGAGTGTCGCACAATCCCCCCAACGGGTGAAATAAATAAACATTATTATTTATATAACCCTAAGATAGACAAAGACGACAAATACTTTTATACCCCAGAAGTGACTACGGAGATAGATGTAAGAAAAGCTTACACTTCTGCTTTTAATAAGATCGCCGAGATACCGGTATTCACTCAGCTTGATATCTGGAAGCCCTTCAATGGCAACGTAGCAGATTTTCACGATCTCACTCTCTACTTGGTCAAGCCCACCAAGCGGAGTTTATTTTTCAATAAAGCCTACACTTTAGTATATGGTATGTTTTTAAAGCACTTCGTGAAGCAATGTAAGATTCTTTATTATAAGCAACCCTCCAGAGTATACAAGGTGGATTATAGGAAGATCACAGCGGAATTATGGAAGACAGACATCTCGGACAAACCAGCCGAAGACATCAGAATCAAAAAACTAATAGCCAATGTTAACTTCGGGCTACTTGAGAAGAACACGAATAAAGCCCATAAAAGTTATGCCTTTGATACTCTAAAGGAAGCCTTATATTATCAGAACAAGATCGGAGGAAAGATTAACAGAATCTCGGGTATGTATGTTGACGAGATTGAGTTACCTAACGGCGAGACAGACTTCGTAGAAAAAGAGATGGACAGAAAATATTATTGCTTAACAGTGACCGATAAAGCCACCCTACGAAACGGATATATATACATCAAAGAATTATTATTACAACATCATAACTTTAAAATACACACCGACCACACCAAGCTAACAGAAAATCATAT